TACATTGACCGATTAAAAAACCCCGCAACTTCGCTGTGGATGGAAGTCTATTTTTAGACTTCCTGGTTTTCACTTAGTGGTACTCATATAGTAATTAGATTTTTAAAATAGAATTGATTAGGAATCTCATGATGATACGTAAGGCTTTATACGTATACATTTATCGGATTTTATAATTTTATAATATAATATATATATAAATAACCCTTTTTTTGCATGTAATGCTGGCCAAGATCACTATAATGCAGGCCAAAGTTAGTATAGTGCGGCCCAGGGATGCTTATTTTCGGAACCATATAGACGGTATACTGTATGTAAAATTAAATTTTAGGCATTTAAAGGCTAAAGAGCTATCTTAATAAAATTTTGTGCGGTTAATATTTTTTAAACCCTCCAAACTTGCCACCCATTTTCGGAAACTTGATTGTCAACTATGTTTAATATTTTTTTATTCTATTTATTATTCGAAGAACTCGCTTCCTAAGTTAAATGTCTATCTTAGATTGATACGTATTATGATTAGGTATTAATAAATTTCAATAATTAATTTCACGTGTTCACTTTGTCTATGAGAAGTAAAATAAAATAAAATATATTGATTAAATGAATAAGACGACTGAACCCTAAAAACAATTAAGAACAAAAAACCTATAACATTAATATATATAAATTTATAATAATTTCTAATTTTCAAAAGGATGCTTGTTAAATGTCTATAACTATTTATGAGCTGATATATTTCTATTATAATAAATGAAGCTATATTAAGAAGATTGAATGTCAAGCAATGCTGACATAATTGTGATATTTCTTTATTGGCAAAATTAAGATAGAATTGAGTGTTATGAAGAATTTGCCCTATGGTTTTTTTGGTAATTGCTAGCTCTATTACTACAAGAAAGCGATTCATATTTGGTTAGGGTATGAATTACATAGTAAAACAAAAACAAAAAAAATGTACTGTGATTTCAATCAGGTTAAATATTACGATATAAAATATGCTTTTTTTTTGTTAATCTTCGTGTTCTGTTTGGTGAGATTTTCTTGTCGATTTTTTTTTTTTACCTTGCTTTTTTTTTCTACCCTTATTTTTATTTATTTATTTATTTATTTGTTTTTTTTATTCGGCGGTTCCGTTTTCTGTTGTTGCGTTTATTTTTTCGGGAGCTTTACTAGAATCTGCCTTTTCTTTTTCTTCTTTCTCTTTTTCTTTTTCTTTTTGCTTTCTTCGTTCTTCCACCCGTCGGAGCGCTTCGTCCGAATCTATTGGTTTGGCATCACCAAACGGATTTGGTTTGGTTGATCGTGGAGTAGGTGTTTCGTTTGAAGGAGCGACTGTACTTCGTGGTTTTAGTTCTAACTTTTTACGCGCTGTTGGCAACGATGTGCCGGTATCGGATGCTGCTGCTGCACGCGTAGTGATAGAAACTGAGTTTTCAGATTTTGATTTTGAAAACGATCCTGTCTCAAATTTTCTCATTGAATTGTTATGTTTACCAATTCTTTCCTCCGAACGGCGTTCACGAAAACTGCTCGACCTGCTGCTACTAAAAGCACCGCCTCTCCATTCCGTATCGACTTTACGATCTACTCTCTCTCCACCACGATCTCCTCTTTCGCTACTGCGTTCATTACGATCAACTCGGTCTCCACGATCACGAAATCCACGGTCACCCCATTTATCTTCTCGATGACCGGGTTTATCATTAAAGCGATCACTCCTCGGAGATGGAACAGTTGATTCCCTTGGAATTATTCGTCGCCATTCACCAGCTGTCCGATCTTCGCGTTGTTCACGATCACGAGCTGCTTAATTATCGGTTCTATTAGAATCAAATTATGTTGAATGAGCAACAAAAAAAAAAAAAAATCCACAAATTCTCACGTGGTTCAGCCACGCTAACTCTGATTGGCCGATTTCCAAGCGACTATAATAATCGTATTGTAGTTGATAGGATATTATTGTAATATTTTAAAATATTTATCAATGATAAGTAATAATATACATCCACATACCTCTCCGCTTAGCTGCAATGCTTTTGTCAATGACTCTACGTCCTCAAATTCAACATATCCAAAACCTTTAGGTTTATCATCTCTATCACGAAGAATTCTGATGGTAATGATCTGAAAAAATTTAAGATGTAACATTTAATTACTGTCAACAACC